CTTCAGATTTGTTTGAACAAATTAAATTGGTAACTCTTAAGAGTTGATGAGTAGTTGAATGCCCATGGCGAACTCCAAACTGGTCATCTGCAAAAATTGAGTTCGTATTGATGTGAAGCATCATTCTATTTAAAATTATCTTTTCAAAACGTTTACTTATTGAAGAAAGCAAACTTATTGGACGGTAGCTAGAAGCTTCAGCTGGATTTTTATCCAGATTCAAAATTGGAACAACTTTAGCATTTTTCCATTTATCAGGAAAGTATGCCACATGGAAACATCTGTTAAATAATTTTACCAAGAAAGACAAGGTACATCTCTGGGAGTTTTTTGATGAGGATATAGAAATTTTTTTAGTTATATACCTTATTTCGGCCAAATCAGTCCCCAAGATATCATCAAAAATATTTTCCCGAGAGAAAACATTCAGAAAATCCCGAGCACCTTGATTCTCAATGAGACTAGTAAGACCCAAACTGAAATTATGGGAACTCTCAAATTGCTTGGCATGTTTCTGAGCTTTTTCCAAATTTGCGATCAAAATTTTACCACCTTCTTTAAGCGCTGGAATAGGCTTTTGAACTTTGACTATATGTTTAGTAATACTTCTGCGTGAAGTCAACGATTTACATAGTTGAAGATGCTCATTTCAAATAACAGACTGTAGTGGTAATTTTTATACTATAGATGGAGTAGATGAAAGTATAGAGTTGATAGCTCCGTTAGAGTATGGCAGTGTGAAAATTGCATATAGATAGGGGAAACGCTCCTATAGTTGCGGTACGTTAGAAGCGTTAGGTTCCTATAGTTGTGTACTGAGTCTCCATACACAACTATAGGAACCTAACGCTTCTAACGTACCGCAACTATAGGAGCGTTTACCAGTAGAATAGCGAGCTAGGACAACTTTTAAGGAAGGTATCGGTTTTTTCATCTCTCTTTACCAAACTCCCCCTTTGGAGAGGGATGGTGAGGGTGTCCCCCCCCCCGTCACCACTGGCAAAAAGAGATGCAAGCCGACCGCTCAAGTACCAACGATGTGTTTGAAACAGTTCTACCGATTTTTTACCGCACTTCAGTTGTTATTTGAAGGAAGGCATCCAGTCGTAGGTTTGGAAATTGCAGCTATTGTTTACCCCTACCACGATATGTGAGAGATGAAAAAACCGATTTGTACCTTCCTTAAAAGTTGTCCTAGCTCGCTATTCTACTATCTATATGCAATTTTCACACTGTCGCACTCTAACGGAACTATCAACTCTATACTTTCATCTACTCCATCTATATTATAAAAATTACCACTACAGCCTGTTATTTGGAATTAGCATCTTCAACTAGGCTTTTGATGTTTTTTCAAAAAATTTGTGAGTTGGAAAGGGTTTGGAACTCGGGTATAATTTAGAAACATTATTTTCAAAAGTTTTGTTCCTCAGGGCAGATAATCGCGTTTTAATTAATTTTTGCAAATCCCTCCAGATAATTTTCATGGCAGGATCGCGTGTTCTTTGATATTGTCTCCTACGGACATTTTTTAGGATGCATCAAGAGCTGAAGATCGTCGTCTATTATAATTGAATCGAATTTAACCTCGCATTTTGGTACTGAGGCAGCTCTTGCTTCAACTATAGAAGTAGTCAGAGATTCAAGGGCATAATTAATTTCATCTTTGGTTTGCAAAGAAATGTTTGGATCGAAGTTATATTCCATAAATGTTCAATATTTCTCCCAATCAGCTCTGTGGTTATTGAAAGTAGAGCTGTTGGGATTAGAAATTATTTCTTGGGATATTTCAAAAGCTACTGGAAGGTGATCAGAACCGAAGTCAGCATGGGTAACCAATTGGCTACAAAGTTGACATGAATCAGCTAAGACCAAATCAATAGTTGAGGGATTTCTTGGAGAAGAAAAGCATGTTGGGCTGTTTGGATATTGAATAGTGTAATAACCTGCAGAAAAATCATCAAACAGAATATTACCATTGGAATTGCTTTGAGCATTATTCCATGAGCGGTGTTTTGCATTAAAATCCCCAAGTAACAATTAAAGCTGAATTGTAAGAACAAAAGTTGATTACTGGTTGATTTAAGGTGTACGAAGCTGATAAACATCAGGCTGAATATACAGTTGGTTAGTAGTGCATGAAGCGAATTGTAGCCCCATAATTCAACCTCAGTAAGTTAGCTGATATAAAGACTGAACAAGACTTATTTAAGCTTAATACTACTCCACAAACCAGCAATGCGCTTCAATTATTCTGATAGGCTGATAGAATAATATGACTTGTTGCATTTCCGACTTTTTAGTTATTCTAATTTCACTGCCTACCTTTCTAATCCCAAGCAGCACCAGCAGTAGAGACTAGGAAGAGTAGTTTTTTTTTAAGAATAGCTCCACCTAGAAGTGGACTGCGACGACGTCTGAAGTATTAACATTAGTATTCCTGTGTTTTATCTGTTCACCACTTTATATTGCATTTAATTTGATTTATTTATTTATTTTATTTTGTCATCAATCAGATGTAGACCATTTTTTACAAGTTGCAAGTCATGTGTTAAAATTACGAATAGAATTAAAGTATTGAGTACTGGTTTTTGTCATTATAAAATCAATAGCTTCACTATGTTTATTGTAAGCAGTCATAATTTGATTTAGTGGACCAAATTTGGCATAATTTGTGCGATAGTGATTTGTAGTAAATATGTTTCGAGTTCGCAGTTGCCGAGAAGGTATGTAAAAATTAAGCTTTGATACACCATTCATACCGCATTTCAAAAGTAGAATTCAATTATAGCACTAAAATAGCATCGAAATACATCACGCACTTGTGTCCACATTGTGTTTACTGCACTTGAAATGAGAAGAATGTTTTACTGTCACAATTTATTGTTTACAATTCTGCATTGCTGTATAATACTCTTCCGGTTGCTATTATTCAACTTAATTTTGACGTGCTTCATGTTAATGATCCTATCTTCTGCCTTAAATATGCTTATGTGGTTGAGTGGGTATAGTTGACGCCTGTGAATCAGTGACCACCGGTTCGAATCCCAAAATGTAAAGGTTATTTTTAGATATGTAATAACAATATAAATATGTAAATCCAATTAGTCAGCAACATTCTAAAGCAGTCTCATAAAAAATATAAGATATGAAGCGGTCTTCCATTATATTTTTTTAATAAAAAAAATGAAAGCTGAACAAGGGTTGGAAAAGACTGTTGGTTAATGCCTTGAAAAGCTTATAATTGAGATTGCTGTTAAGCTTTGGGCTGATTAAAATCACCAGATTTAGATGTTTAAAAGCTGAACAAAGGTTAAAATGGTCTATGTACAACAATTATTCAAACTAAGTCTGAATTAAAATCGTTTAAAGAACACTTGTTAAGCATCATTTTGTTACCTGGGTCACCAATAATGAAGACTTTAGACCTATGACGGGTAAGTTTCTGAAGGTCACCCTTGAGAAAATTCTTTTGCTGGCCTACGCATTGGAAAGGCAAATAGGCAGCTATAAACGTAAGTTGTCCAAATTTTGTTTCAACAGAAACTCCCAAAGTTTCAAAAAACTTTGGTTTCAAATGAAGAAAGAATTTTATGTTTCATTCGTCTATGAACAATGATGGCAACGCCACCACAGGGTCCATCAAGACGATCATTTCTATAAATGAAATAATTTGCGTCCTTCTTAACATTATGGTCAGGTTTAAGGAACGTTTCAGTTTTCGGTGGATTTTCTCGTCGTTGCTTTGCTCATCGCTTTCAATGAAAGTAACGGCGAATATCGAGTTGAAATGAAACCTCAATCCCTTTCACCGACGCTCTATCACTGCTTTTTCAATTTATTTAACATGATTTTTGTCCCATTTTCGTTACTTTTTTAAAATAAATATTTGAATGGAAGATACATTAAACATATTACCTATAATCTTCATGTGTTTTCACGTGAGATATGCTTTAAACATATATTTCGTTTCGGATATATATGTCATGAAGCCTCTGTTGATGTGTTTCATGGAAGACGAAACTATCAAAGTTAAGCGTTCTTTCACTAGTCTGCTTCACTGAAGCTTGAAAGAAAGACAAATGAAGTAACGGGAGAAAGAGAGACAAGCGATTGAAGATGTGTTTGCAGATGGCGACTGAGGTTCTCGAATGCTGCGAAGCTGTTCGACTTCAACAGAAAAAGAAAGCCAGCAGTCACACTTCGTCGCATCGATTTTGTCGATTGACGCTGATAATATTATTGCGACGCCCTGGACGACATGCAGCCTTGGATCGCGAGAAATGAGATGACTTTTAAGTACAAAACCGGAGGTCACAATGCGGAATATGAAACGATATTTTCTCGTTTCGAATTCCGTTACGTGACCCCGGCCTTAGATGGAATGGTAATTAAGTCATATGCATATTTCTTCGCTATGTGACAGAAAATCTTGACTTCAGCCATCTATGAAGGAGAAGAAGAAGAAGAAAAAGAAGCTCTGGTGACATATTCAGATGTGGACTGTGGAAATGACGTTAAAGGTAAACGATTGATGAACGATTACAACGTGCGAGTATTTGGAGTAACAAACCATGGCGTTGTCGGCAATAGAGTTTGTAGCGCATTGCATCCAAGGTTGCAAAGACTCATTTCAGCTAAAATAATGTTTTTCGGAATAATAAAACCAAAAGATGGTATGATGGCATGTTTTACTTGTAACTTACAAGAAGAGGTTACAAAGTATGCGTTGGAAACATAAAACCTGTAAATTTTGCTTTCTATGAGTCACAATCAGCGATTTGCTGATCGCTGAGTGAGTGAGTGAGTGAATGAGTTTGTGAAAAATCGCTGATTGTGACTCTCATGAAGTGAAATAAACAGGTTTAATATGTCAAACACATTCTTTGCAACCTCTTCTTGTATCCTACCAATTCAAAATTTGATCATGGCATCTAATTATTTCATAATTTAGAAAAACTTTGTTTTAGCTGAAATGAGTCTTTGCAACCTTGATTGCATCACTGCTTGTGAAGATGTATGAACTCGGAATTGTCATCAAGCTACACACACTGTTTAGATTAGTGTAAGAATATTTGCTCAGAAATGAGGTTTAAACCGGTAAAGGTACCTACAATGGATACATTTGGCTTTAATTTAATCCAGAGCTTTTCCTATAAAACTCTGATTATCTGAGGTGTATCAATTCCAGGATCACATCTGTGTTATGATTTTTATTAACAATGATCAGCATGGACCAGCACCGTTCAAGTTCTCCCGAATCCAATCCAAATAATGAGTAATACGAGTGAATATATCAGATTCGTGTTGCTTAGGATTTCCAAACTCCCAAACTCCATGTCCATGCTGATACCAGTAATCATCCCTTTCCTGCGTGACGAGCGATCTTGCAAAATCAACACGTTGAAGATTATTTTCATCCACTTGCTCGGTACAAATCTCCGAAGTTGACTGAAAATCAAAATCACATTCCTCGTCGCTTACGGTACGCACTTCCATGGAGTTTTGATGGCGATCCCCAATAAAATCCGTAACGTTAGGAATGTAATTTTCTTCCACAATGTTCCATCCCACAACTCTGAGTATTCTACCGGATTCAAGTGGATTCATGTGTGATTCACTCCAAGGAAGGCATATTGGCGATATAAAATTCGTGAATGTCACTGGCCTGGCAAGTTTAATCATGGCAATATCATGTTGGATGTGGCTAGAGTTGAAGTCCTGGTGAATGACATGACTGACGATTGCAACGTCGATGATTCTTCCTGCACACAACTCGGCATCGCAGGCCCGTTCACTTGTAATGTTCCACCCACCCAAACGTATCTTGAATCTGGAAAATTGAATGAATTTGCTACTGCAATAAACAAAGAAGTAAAATAAGAACACATTTTCCCTCACGTGACATATCCCGGCAAATTCTCGAAACAATGCGCTGGTGTCAAAACAAACCGATCGGATATTAGGGTTCCACCACAGATGGCAACAATAGGACCATTCCACTGAGGTTGCACAATAAGCACAGCTGTCCACGGGTAGAACGGTTCCTCAATTTCCTTCAGCGCTCTGATCCCACAAACGCCCGGTGCTGGTAAACTGCATTTGGCTAATGTGGGAAATATTTTCAAAAAAACTGTGATGAGAGGAGCGTAAATATAAGCTTACCAGCTAATGCCATAGCGATCACAGTGCTGAGCAACGCAATTATAGTGCCTGTTGTAATCATTGTCCGTTTTCTGATTTGCTCAACTGTCTCAGTTGTAATGATCGTTACTGCGCATAGGTTCGTCCAGCTTCAATCGGATGATAATCTACGATTCAATGTGTATTAGGTACTACATTCTCCGTTTGTCATGTGCAGTTGACTCCGCTGATTATTACATTTCTCTTGCTAGCGTTATCTCGCGGTTACACAGTCGGGTCAAAGAGTTGTTCAATTCAAACTTGTAAGGAAAGTTGTCCTAGGAAAGCCACAGGAATTTAATTCTTGATAATATTGTTTTGTAACTAGATCGCCATCATTATTATTTTTTCGATCCATTTATTTGTAACTTGTATCAAAAACCCAGAAAAAATATCTGTAGTCATCCTAAATGAGACCAAATTCGAAAAAAGGGAGAATCGTGTAAATACAGAATTGAAAGCAGTATGATATCATAAGAGAAAACGAAGATGAGCCCGGTGTAGTGGTTGGTATCCATACCTCTCATGCTGAAGGTCACGAGTTCGAATCATGCGAAATTCAAACAGAACTCGTGACCTTCTATTTAGTTCTTAAATATTTCTCAACTTTCGTGCACCACATACTGCTATATCTATACTGTCAAACCTACAGCTCAGCTCCGAATCAAAGTGAACGAACAAACTGTTCAGCATCATAAATATTCAATCTCATCTCCAATTTTCTCAGATTCGATAATCATCATCTCGTCCAAAGAGACAGTGAAGTAGGTATCTTTGACTTTCCTCGAATCGGTCGGAGATGGTCTTAGCAATGTCTTTTCCCCTCAGTCAACAAGTTCACATCCGGTACTTACAATCCCTCGAATCGAAACAGAAAAAAAATCCCTTCGGCTCATTCCACCAGAGACAATGTGTGTGTGTGTCTTCTGTACCGTCATCATCCAAGGCTCCGAGAACAGATTTTCACATGTTCCTACATGCAGTTATGTGCTGTCTCATCGTTTCTGGATCAAAGCCGGATAAAGTGCGGAAACCGAGATCGAATATCGAGATGTGGTAGTACCCACTTGTAACATGGAATAATTTATAGAGACATTGAAATTGGATGTAAAAATGGTTCGTACGGAGGAAAATGCCAACATCAGATGCATTTTGAGGTCGTATCTTGTACCGGTATCGGAATGGGATGCTTTAAGGAAATGTTGAATTCGATATAAACTACGATGCAAATTTATAATTCAATTCCTCGAGAAAGCGGTTGTCCTTTTACCAGCAGAAAGTCAAACATCAGAGCACCACTGCTGAGGAGCCACAAAGTGGTATGAGATTCAAAATTTATTTCCTTCACTTTAACCACGAAACCGCATTCATTTATCCACGTTTTAAGCTGTTCTCATTTTTCAGTCTGCATCCAAGTTTGTGGGCATTAAAAATTAAAAATTATCATAACATAAATAGCAGGGAAGCTATGTGCTCCACGGAAGCAAAGTGATTTTGGTGTTCCGTCCAGCTAACCCAAAGTCCACTCTGTGGTGGTAGCTGAGTTTGAAACGCCAACGACTATCGTGGAAGATTTTGAGGACGGAATAAAAAAAAAACTTAGGGAATGTGCTACAACGACGAACGGACAGACGTCCATATGGCCGGGAATGCGGCGGTACACGCTGTAGCAGCATTTTGTGGACACAGATTAAATATAACCTAGAGCAGAGATTTTAAAACCGCTCCTGCTACTGACTGGCTCAGCCCCACTCGTTTCCATTCGCCCCCCTCCCCCCTCTCCTTTTGTTTGAAGACCTATTATCCGTATGAATGATTCAGAGGTTGTATTTCGTCCTTATGGCGTGATGTTTTCAGTCTGAGTCTGTTTCCCCGGGTGGATTAAAATAACACTTTTATGCGGCAGTAGTAATGGTTTTATGGTAGTGGAATGGATTAATGAGTGGATAATTTGGACTCCAAATGCATTAATAATTTTCCCTGATATCACACTCAAGGGCACTCTAATGTTTAGCTAGCAAGGGAAAATACTTTCGTTTTGCATTTACTACTCACTCATACGCAAACGTTAAATAAGTACTTTTAATCATAAGTGTATAAACGTTGCTAGTAAAAGTTGTTCGAAAACGTGCCGAAATCTCACGGAAAATAATATTCAGAAATTGATTGAGCTGGGTTTTGCGGAAGTGAACCAACTTAACAGTAACTCCAAAATTAGGGATTCTTGTCATACACAGCTTTCTAAACGTGCCGAACTATCAAGTAGTGATGAGTTATCGAACTGCGATGAACAAGAAATCAACATGAATGTTCCTTGTCAAGAATCCTTAGCAACTGTACTATCAATAACATCGGTAGAAACAAAAAAAATTGGTGAGGTTGTGTACAAGACACGACCGCAGGGTTGACGTAGACTACGTTAAGCTGTGTAGTGAAATTCTCGTGCGTTTTTCTAGATATTGATTTAAAATACAGTAGAAGTAACCTATGATTTCGGTCCTATGTACATATTTTGGATTTCCTACTTAGTAGGATCATGTTAAATTCATTATTCACTTGGTTAAATTCAGGACCTCATAAAAATGCGAATACATATTCTATTTCATTTGGTTCCTAAATAACAATCAGATATGAGTAAGGCTTTCTTCAGGTGATTCATTGAAGCGTCCAACAATGACCGTCATGATAGCTGATATTCCCTATCACTTCAAGATTTCTAGGACATAGGTTGTGACATCATTCATGAAATTGAAACTTCTTGTGTACTGGACTGCAACAAACGTGAAGTTCCAGTATCTTTGTTATAAGTTTTTTGAGAGCTGATATCTGTACTCTTGAAATTTTTATGTGGTAATAAGATTGATCAGAAACAAGGTATCCTCAGCGATTCAACTTCAAAACGCTAAACGGATTGCACAATTTTGCACCAATGTTATGCAACATTTCATAGTTGATCGGGATACAAGGGGTGGTCACTCTACACACTTGTTTTGCGCCAACTTTTTTCTCAGTGTACCTCAGTGTGCCGCAGTTGTACCGGCAGTGTCAAGAAGTCATTGAACTGACATTTGATTGCTTGTGAATAATGCCTTGTTTGGCAACCCGGTATTTTAACAGCTTTTATTTTTGTTTTGTTTTTCAATGTTTTCAAAAACGACACGGACTCCAGTTGGGACTACACACTGGATGCATCCGTCTCCAAGGATGCCTGGAACGGACGAGCTCCGTTGCTACACGATCCTTTGGCGGAAGGCCGACCCCGCACAACGAACGTCAATCATTAGTCAACCAATCCTTCTGGGAGCCGGCGGAGGAAATGGATTTGCACCGAATTTTCACCGCCCGAGTATCATCCGTCGGAAAACTGGAAACCAACACCGGCCAGAACACACGTCGGACTGATGAAGGACGCACCGCTGACCCGAAACGGACCAGCCGTACACCCTGCAGGACAATTCGATCAGCTTCAAGGTCTACAGCGCCTCCAAGAACAATCGCTTCCCAGGCCAGCAAAAATCGCATTCACTTCTTCAATAACCCACCCGTATGCCGTCCGAGGATCTGCTGCTGACTGCATTCACCACCAAGGGCTGCCACCCGTCCCAAGTGCGAATGTTCCCGCTGAAATCTGGAAGTTCCTCCTCCGGATTGGTCGAGTTCCCGAGCGTAGCCCTGGCGGTGAACGTCATCATGAAGTGCAACCACAGCGCGATGATCACAAATGCACAAAACTCCCGTTCATTATGAAGCTGTGCTTCTCCTCCTCCAAGAAGATGAGCGGTGCGTGGAGCACGAGAACACCGAAAACACATTAGCTTTGAAAGAGCGGAAGCTTATTTTCTGAAAAAAAGAAAGGATTTTCCTTTTTCTTGGTAGTTAATGTTATGATACGTAATTATAATTTCTTATTGTGTTAGTTAGAAGTGCAAAAAGGAACGAGAGTAAAAATTTGTTGAACTATTTGAGATTTAGCCAAGACAGTCCTCCAACATTATACGTTGAACGATGGAATGGTTGGTGTAGCAGACACCGCCATGGATGTATTCGAGCAGTTCGAATGGTCGGATGGTATAGATTTTGTTTGGTTGTTGACTTTCCGATTAAAACTCAAGCACCGCTTGTCGTGAACGGCCCAAGATTTCCAGCGTCGACCACGGCTACACAAATTAGCTATGCAGCTCTCACGGCTGCGGCTGATTCCAATGCTGCTGCTGCTGTCTCCTCTAAAATTCGTCAAAAAAGACGGACCAGCAGCAGCATTGGAAGCAGCCGCAGCCGTGGGAGCTGCATCGCTAGTTCGTGTAGCCATGGCCGGAAACCTCGGTTAGGTCAAGATACCGCTGTCAGCTGTACTTCGTATGAGAGGAAATGTGGATGCGACTGCCGTCACGGGTGTAACGATTTTGAGAATCCATGGTGAGACTTGGTGGAGATTCACGGTTGTTTTGAAAATAATTTGACTAGGAGTGGCAACGTCAATAACAAATTTTGACACATGCACACTGCGCAGGCGCAGAAAAAGTTCAGTGTTGCCAGTAACTTTGAAGTTCATAAAAATTGTAACCATGGGTGCCAAACAACGTCAATGACTGCACCCCGATGTGCCCCAGTTTGATTTTGGCACACTGTGTAGAGTGACCAACCCCTTGCCGTTTATCAATTAGCCATGAAACCATCCAATAATTTCTCAGTACATCTTTTATCTATCGATTGAAAAAAAAAAAAATACTGTGGTTGTGTTCCATTTGGAAAATTTTCACTTAGATTTGACACTTCGAAAATAAATTAAGATGTTCGAAAATCCCTATTGTTAAACGGCCGATTTTCCAAAAAGCGTCTGTCAAAATTGATTCCTTGTTTGTCAGAAATAAGTCTGCTGCAATAGCAGGTTTATTTGAAAATTTTCCATCTGTCAAATTTAAGTAAACATTCCCAAATGGAACACAGCCTTAATAACTTGAGCACAGAATCGTTTCTTGTTGTGTTTGTTGTATTACATTAAAAAATGGATGGGCCGAGTGGATTCAAGGAGAAAGTCGACGAAGAGAATCTTGTCAGTGTTACTTAGGACCTAATGAAATGTTCAGATTAAATTGTT